CCAGTCTCCTTTTGGTATTTTGAGCACGCACACACATGTGCCCAGTGTGAGTTTTAAGCCACCGGGTTTGGGACTAGAACCACGGTCAATTACATGGGAGTCCAGCAACATAACCATTATGCCATCTGCTGGTCTCAGATTGCAGTTTTAATATAAAAATTTCTGGTATTTTCTGCTTTACAATAATTAATTATTAGAATTAGAATACTTTGTAATTTATTCGAAATTTGTGGTTCTTCACCAAGGCCATGCACAAAAATCATCTGTAAAGTTTTAAAAATATACACACATGGGAGCAGCAGGTGGCATAGTGATTAAGGTGTTGTTCTCCCACATGGCCAACTGTGGTTCAGGTCGCTGGCCCGGCAGCTTGAAACTAACACCAAGTGTGTGTGCATTTATGCACAAAATTCTAGGAGGAGATTGAAGGAGAGGAGATTGTGGGTTAGTCATAACCCCTGGGGGGTGATTTCTCACTTTCTCTCATCTGACTTTCTCTGTCTCCCTGGAGAGCTTACACACTCTATAGCAAAAATCTCTGTCCTGCAAAAAATATATATAAACACACACACACACACACACACACACACACAGACACACAGGTCTCATTCCAGAATAGACTTACTGGATATGAATTGCATAGGGGAAAATGATAAGAAAATGGGCAAATTAAATATTTCAAAGTCTACAAGTGCTTTGAAAACTCAGTATTCAAAAGAGCTGTAAAAACAAAATGTAATATATGTTAAAATGAGTGATAAAGAACTAGCCCCTTTGCACAGCACTAAGTACTGAGCATAGGGAACTGGGGTCTACAGAGTGGACCCCAGTTCAAATCCCACCCTAATGGCTTGAAAAACACATGCCACACACATGTACCTGCATGCTCCAAATCCTGAGAGAATGAAGAAATGGAGGAGAAAGGATTGCAGCATGAACACAAGCCTTTGGAGGGGGTGCTTTCTTTTTTTCTCTCTCTCTGGCAAGCACACACCCTCTGACAATGAAAAAAAAAATAGCGTTAGGAAATGAAAGTTGAATAGAAACTTTGTGTAGTACAAAACAATATAGTCTTTGTTTTTGGGATTATATAATTATGCTTTGCTTCCTGATAAGGTATCTGCAGTGTACCATATTTGAATGGTGCCTTTAAGTGCACCATCTGATTTTATTCCTATGATACAGCTCAGAAAAGTAAGGAGTAAGAAAATGAAAAGACATTGTTCATCCTGTAATATCTACTGTTTTCACCCCTGAACACTTGCAAGTTTGTGTTCCAAACACTCTTCTATTGCTAAGAGAAATGGTCAGGTAATTATAATAAATATAAACATAAAAAGTGATAGAAAATTCATTTAATAGGTGTATTTTTATTAATTAGTTTGAATTTAGGCTGTAAGAACATCATTGCTAGGACTTTGCCAAAGATTAACAATCTTTTTTTCACCTACTCCGGACCCCAGATAATTACTCTTCTCCTCAAGCTGCAGATTGTTTTTTTCCACCAAGAAATAAATTTAAAAATTACACAAGACTTTATATAATGTGGCAGGGAGGAGGGGAAGAAACAGCATCAGAAGAAAAACCTTGGATATACTATAGATGGAAATGTATTAATTTAGTTCAATGCCCTGAGTAAAAGCAAAATTTAATCTAACAATAGAGACAACAAAATGAGTGTCAAATCTTTAAGAGTAGATTTATTTTGTTAGAATTTCTTTGTTTCTGAAATTCCCTGACTTACTAGGTTGATCCCTTTGAGATGTGCCTATAATAGTTTATTTCTACTTTTAGCGCAGTTGAGACTACGTGTTTCTTAAATACCTGAGATCAACCCACCTAAGTGGCACTATTAATTAAATGACTGTGTTTTTTTTCAATAAGGACCTGTGGCTTTCTTTTATTTCCAGGCAATCACCAGTTTGAAATTGTGTTGTTAAACAACCAACCTTTGTGGAAGTCCACTTAAAAGGCTGCTGTAGCTTTCACCACAGTGGATTTTAAAGTCCCCTCAATTATGCAAGCAGTTTACATCTGCTAGTTGACATAGCTCCCCCGACAAACTGCTGTCCATTTTCGCCTAAGAAGCCCTGAATAATTTCATTTTTTTTCCATGTAGAATTAGAACCCTGCATTTCCGACTCCAGTGGTGTCAGATCACTCTCTAGACGGGGGTGGAGCAGGTGACTCTGCAATCATTCCAGACCATCATGCTTCAGTACACAGGAAAATGAATGCCAGCCACATGATTGCCCAGGACTGGAAAAATGAGGCAGCCCCAATGCTTAACTCTCTCTCCTCTCTTTTTGATTCCATCTAGCCCAGGAACAGCAGCAGTTGATACACAGCAACCAGGCCGAAAGTCATGCGTTTATTGGCAGAGAGACAGCTGAGCAGCAGCAGCAACAGCAACAGCAGCAGCAGCAGCAGCAGCAGCAGCAAGACTGTGGGGACGTTGTTAAAAATTTGTGAAGATCAACTATTGGGTTGCACTTTTTTGTTTTGTTTTGTTTTGTTTTGTTTTGTTTTTTAAGAGAGTTTTTTGCTTGTTTTGTTTTTGTTTTGTTTTGTTTTGTTTTTCCTGCTATACAGTTCATGTACTTGCTAGAGAGACAGAGAGATAGTAAGCTAGAAATTACCCCCCCCAAGGGAGGATGGCCACATTGCAATCCCTTCTCCTCCAGTCTCCTTTTGGTATTTTGAGCACGCACACACATGTGCCCAGTGTGAGTTTTAAGCCACCGGGTTTGGGACTAGAACCACGGTCAATTACATGGGAGTCCAGCAACATAACCATTATGCCATCTGCTGGTCTCAGATTGCAGTTTTAATATAAAAATTTCTGGTATTTTCTGCTTTACAATAATTAATTATTAGAATTAGAATACTTTGTAATTTATTCGAAATTTGTGGTTCTTCACCAAGGCCATGCACAAAAATCATCTGTAAAGTTTTAAAAATATACACACATGGGAGCAGCAGGTGGCATAGTGATTAAGGTGTTGTTCTCCCACATGGCCAACTGTGGTTCAGGTCGCTGGCCCGGCAGCTTGAAACTAACACCAAGTGTGTGTGCATTTATGCACAAAATTCTAGGAGGAGATTGAAGGAGAGGAGATTGTGGGTTAGTCATAACCCCTGGGGGGTGATTTCTCACTTTCTCTCATCTGACTTTCTCTGTCTCCCTGGAGAGCTTACACACTCTATAGCAAAAATCTCTGTCCTGCAAAAAATATATATAAACACACACACACACACACACACACACACACAGACACACAGGTCTCATTCCAGAATAGACTTACTGGATATGAATTGCATAGGGGAAAATGATAAGAAAATGGGCAAATTAAATATTTCAAAGTCTACAAGTGCTTTGAAAACTCAGTATTCAAAAGAGCTGTAAAAACAAAATGTAATATATGTTAAAATGAGTGATAAAGAACTAGCCCCTTTGCACAGCACTAAGTACTGAGCATAGGGAACTGGGGTCTACAGAGTGGACCCCAGTTCAAATCCCACCCTAATGGCTTGAAAAACACATGCCACACACATGTACCTGCATGCTCCAAATCCTGAGAGAATGAAGAAATGGAGGAGAAAGGATTGCAGCATGAACACAAGCCTTTGGAGGGGGTGCTTTCTTTTTTTCTCTCTCTCTGGCAAGCACACACCCTCTGACAATGAAAAAAAAAATAGCGTTAGGAAATGAAAGTTGAATAGAAACTTTGTGTAGTACAAAACAATATAGTCTTTGTTTTTGGGATTATATAATTATGCTTTGCTTCCTGATAAGGTATCTGCAGTGTACCATATTTGAATGGTGCCTTTAAGTGCACCATCTGATTTTATTCCTATGATACAGCTCAGAAAAGTAAGGAGTAAGAAAATGAAAAGACATTGTTCATCCTGTAATATCTACTGTTTTCACCCCTGAACACTTGCAAGTTTGTGTTCCAAACACTCTTCTATTGCTAAGAGAAATGGTCAGGTAATTATAATAAATATAAACATAAAAAGTGATAGAAAATTCATTTAATAGGTGTATTTTTATTAATTAGTTTGAATTTAGGCTGTAAGAACATCATTGCTAGGACTTTGCCAAAGATTAACAATCTTTTTTTCACCTACTCCGGACCCCAGATAATTACTCTTCTCCTCAAGCTGCAGATTGTTTTTTTCCACCAAGAAATAAATTTAAAAATTACACAAGACTTTATATAATGTGGCAGGGAGGAGGGGAAGAAACAGCATCAGAAGAAAAACCTTGGATATACTATAGATGGAAATGTATTAATTTAGTTCAATGCCCTGAGTAAAAGCAAAATTTAATCTAACAATAGAGACAACAAAATGAGTGTCAAATCTTTAAGAGTAGATTTATTTTGTTAGAATTTCTTTGTTTCTGAAATTCCCTGACTTACTAGGTTGATCCCTTTGAGATGTGCCTATAATAGTTTATTTCTACTTTTAGCGCAGTTGAGACTACGTGTTTCTTAAATACCTGAGATCAACCCACCTAAGTGGCACTATTAATTAAATGACTGTGTTTTTTTTCAATAAGGACCTGTGGCTTTCTTTTATTTCCAGGCAATCACCAGTTTGAAATTGTGTTGTTAAACAACCAACCTTTGTGGAAGTCCACTTAAAAGGCTGCTGTAGCTTTCACCACAGTGGATTTTAAAGTCCCCTCAATTATGCAAGCAGTTTACATCTGCTAGTTGACATAGCTCCCCCGACAAACTGCTGTCCATTTTCGCCTAAGAAGCCCTGAATAATTTCATTTTTTTTCCATGTAGAATTAGAACCCTGCATTTCCGACTCCAGTGGTGTCAGATCACTCTCTAGACGGGGGTGGAGCAGGTGACTCTGCAATCATTCCAGACCATCATGCTTCAGTACACAGGAAAATGAATGCCAGCCACATGATTGCCCAGGACTGGAAAAATGAGGCAGCCCCAATGCTTAACTCTCTCTCCTCTCTTTTTGATTCCATCTAGCCCAGGAACAGCAGCAGTTGATACACAGCAACCAGGCCGAAAGTCATGCGTTTATTGGCAGAGAGACAGCTGAGCAGCAGCAGCAACAGCAACAGCAGCAGCAGCAGCAGCAGCAGCAGCAAGACTGTGGTGACCCAGGTCGTAGACTGTGATTGCTATCATCTCTAACCCAATTATGGTCAACACTGTTTATTACAACTTCCAAATGAGGAATCTGCTGACTGTCATGTGTTTGATGGTTGCATATTAACATACCTCCCAATCCTTTCCTACGGGTGTTGGATGTTGGGAGAAACTAGATGAGCTGGGGTGGGGGGGGTGTCCCAGGACAATGAACAATCCTGGAAGCATATGTGCAACACAGAAGGGGAATAAAAATGCTGGGTTGTAAACACATCACGGGTTACCAAAATACAGCCTAAGTTTTGTCCTCCAGGCAGTGCTATCATGAAAGAATCTTGACATAGGAGAAATAGCTTGATCATTTTAAGGGAGCTGAGAAGGCTTTCTTCCATTGCTTGATAAGAGATCACCAATGGGTGTTGATGACAAACAAGAAAAATAACTATGACAAAGAATCAACAAGAACCTCATGATCCAAAATTGACATGTCATACATTTTCCCATCTTTCTTTTTTTTAGAGGTATTTTTGCTATAAGGCACATGCACTTGTCAGAGAGACAGAGGGAAACAGATAGACAGAAAGCAACAAATCACCCGCAGGGGGAATGACCATGCTGCAATCCCTTCTCCTCCATTCTCCTCTCAGAATTTTGGGCATGCATGCACATGTGCTCAGCATAAGTTTTAACCTGCCAGGTCTGGGACTTGAACAGTGGTTGACTGTAGGAGTTCAGCGATGTAACCACTATGCCATCTGCTGGTCCTGACATTCCCATCTTTCTAACCATAAAGGTTTAGCTGTTTCTTCTAGGCTTAACTTTAGCTCTTAGAGGCATTAAGTTTGGTTACTGCTAAAAGCCTCTCTTCACTCTTTAGTATGGATCTAGTCTCATTTATTCTCCCATAAGTGAGAAATGTGACTTATGGGGTTCTCTTTAAGAATGCAGGAGAATATGCCCCATGGAAATTGTACTCTAATTTATTTAAGAGATTGGAATTTGGTGTCTAGAAAATACCATAAAATCCTTGAATTATTGAAGTACATGCTTAAAGGGATAAAAAGTATCATTGTTATATAAAGTGATACAGACTAAATTCTGAATCCCTTTATCTCTCAATAAAGAATACCTACATCAAAAATGAAATTCTCAGGTTATTGCTACAACTACTTACATATTCACAACTACATATTTAATACTAGGTCATTGAATTTGAAAGCAGATGAGCCATTAGCTCTTTAACCTCAACCAAGTTGGTATTTTGATCCTCAGTTTCTCCATCTATTGAGAGTCTAATAATAACTCTTTGAATAATAATTAAAAAAAGACTGAAAATTCTTGGTAAAGTGAAAACAGTTTAGAACTTTATTATAATAGTTTTAAAAAATTCTACCCTGAAGTAGTCTTAAAATTCAGGTTGCCATTTTCTAAGTGAATGTAGTTTATATATTTAAATATATTAATGCAACATGGTTTATTTAAATTGCTTTTAAACCTATCATGAGATTTAAGTGGTTTTAAATATATGTTTTTAATGGTTCCAATTTTCTCTCTTTCTACATGCAGCAGTGATGCAAAAAATAACCAACCAGATGGATCACCAGGCAGTGAAATTGACTCTTCTGCAGAAGAATATAGACAATATCTCTTTGGCTCTAGATGATGTAAGAAACACATACTCCTCCCTTGAAAGGAAAATCAGTGAAGATAAAGGCAGGGAATTTCAATCTTTTCTAAAAGGTAAAAATAAAATTACTTATTCATTCAGTTACGACTTAGGCAAATGATTCAGTTATGTTTTCTCATCACATTGAGATCTTTGCTTTTGATGAGGTGGCATGCAAACCTAATGCAGGCATCTTCTTGAAAGAAATATTTTTAAATCACTCAGCTCCTGAAATATTTGAAATATCCAAAATTTTTTACTAGATATCCATACATTTGACGGAATATTCCATCTGATTGATGGGCATTAGCTACCTAGATACAGTTTAATTTGCATTAATTTACAGTTAAAATGAGCCATTCTTAATTTATTTCTATTGTGGTGTCTAGTTCAAGAATAAAGATGAGGGAACCAGCAGTTAGCGTAATGCTATGTCGCTGGATTCCCATGTAGTCGACCGCAGTTCGCGTCCCGGACCCGGTGGCTTAGAACTCACGCCGGGCATGTGTGCATGCGTGCCCAAGATCCCAAGAGGAGAATGAAGGAGAAGGGATTGCGGCGTGACCATCCTCCCTGGGGGGGTGATTTCTCGCTTTCTGTCTCTCTGTCTCTCTCTGTCTGGCGAGCGCACGCGCCCTATAGCGAAAAAAAAAAAACCTTTCAAAAAAAGAATAAAGATGAGAGTAAGGGATGATTATCGAGGCAACTTGATAGATGTCTCAATATTATTGGTGTAGATTCTGAGGATAAACCCTGAAGTACATTATTACTCAGGAATTAGCTAGGTCATGGTGTATAATCAAGAAAATATATCCAAAAAACATCTCAGTTCAGAGACATTATTTCTTTATAGATGTAAATAAACTTCACCTGAACGTTGTACCATTAAAACTATAGGCTTAAAATCAGGCTGTATTCCTTTCCTGAGGCTTTATGAAATAATCTATTTCCTGCTAATTTGAGATGTTGGAAGAATTTATTTTCTTGTAGTTGTAGGATTAAAGTCAATATTTTCTTGATAGCTGTAAACCGAGGCCAGCTCCCAGCTTGTAGAAGCCACTGCATGCCCTGGCTCATGGTTTTCTTTATTCATCTTCAAAGTCAGCAACAGTGTATTGAGTCCTCCTTACATCTCCTCAACCTACTCTTCTGACTCCCTCTTACCTGGATAATTAGGAAAAAATCTCTTCTCAAAATTACTTTAATCACATTTCCCAACTCCTTTTTGCCATGTGAGGTCATATATTTACGGGTATTGGGAACTAGAGTGTGGACATCTTGGGGAAGAGAGGTGTATCCATTCTGCCTACCACAGAGATGTATAGATAGTGAATAATTGCAATGATCGTGTCATGCACAGGGTACAATGGGACTATTTGAGACTTGAAATAAATCCAGTCTAAGGGAATCAGAGAATGCTTCTAGGAGGAGAACCCATAGCAACTGATGAATAAGTCAGGAGATAACCAGGCAAAGGGGTTTCAGATAGAGCTTGGATGTTCCAGGCAAGTAGTTTAGTTACTAATAATGTCCCAAATCATTGTGTTTATTGCATGTTTCCAAGTCTGGGGATTAGTGTTATCTTTCATTTTGCTTTATTCATAAGAAGACATTCACTGTATAACCCCATTTCTATTATTCATAAGTTGGTTTTTTTTTTCCTATTATAGTTCACAGATAAGAAAGATAATAGGTAGAGATTTGACATATCAGCCACCAGCACAAACATTTTCATAGCTCAACACCAATCAAGCTTTTTCTCCATGTAAATTATTGGTTGCTATTCAGTCACTGAAAGGAGGATCGTGACCTACATGTCCATTATGGTCCCAAACTCACTATGCCAAGCTTGGGAAAGCCACATTTTCCCCATGAAGCTGCAATGTGGGGAAGATGACCAATAGAAACTGTCCATAATTGACTCTAACCATCTGAAAGAACTCCTTTAGCAAAATTTGGTTATCCTGCCCTGAGAGAATTAGGTCTGTCAACTGTTTTGTGTGACCTACTAACCTACTAAGAAAAATTATGGCACTGACACAGAAAAAAACACACAGCACAGCAACAGCAATAACAAGGAAATTCCCTCCTCAGTGGGAGGGATTAATTGCACCCTAAGCACAGTCATTAATTATGAGAAGCAGAGCGCTTGTAGCTAATGAATATCTTACAGGTAACAAAAACTAAGCCCACCCCCGAGGTAGTGTGCTTGTCTACCAAACCACGGCCGCCTCCCATATTTACTCTATATCCAAGGTACAAAACACCGCCTCATCTGCCAGTAGCCATGGAAACTGTTGAAAATCAAATAAATGTCTCAACTCCATAAAAGCCATCTGAATGTATGTAAAGGCCATGTATTCACAACCATAGAGGGCATGCCGAAGTGTGTGGTACTAAATGCATCTGTTACGTCACCAAATACAAAGTCATCTTTTAAAAAAATTAGGAGCAGATGTCACTTGAAACCGAATCAAATAAAATTAAAATGATGTGCCCACTGAGTAACACAGAGCACTTTGACATCTTTGGGAAGTCAGATTCTTGCACAGATGTTTCATTAATAACAACTTATAGAAATGTTATTTGAAACGCTCTTTATTCCAAAACAAATTTGGAAGCTAGTAATCGGTTTGATATCTTTTCAAGCACTGCTGTGACTTTATTCATTCTCCAGTATAATTTTCTATAAAAATTCTTATGCATAATTTCTGAAATAGTTCATCTTTTTAATTTTCATGTTTTTGCTAATTATTTTGCTTACAAAATAGAGATGTGTAGAGACTCACTTTTTATGCTTTACCCACCTTTCTTGAGTAGGTTCCATAGTAACCATAACTATTTGGCAATATCCCATAGTAAAGACTCTTCTCTTTTAAATGCTTTGTATTATGTTGCCTGAATTTTATTTTATATTATAGTCATTGGCTATATTTTTACTATGAATGAACATATATTCTATTTAAGTGTGCTTCATAGCTAGATACTATAAATACACCTCAATGCAACAGGTTTTGGGGTTGTTGGTGTTGTATTGTATGTTTTAAAATACCCACTCTTGTTCTAAGTAGTTCTGCATAGTTTAGTACCCCTCTCCTTTTATTGTTTATTCTGTTTTTTTTTTTAATATTACATTTAGATCTACTGCAGTCTTAATTTATGAACAGCCTATACTTTTCATATTTTATTTTACTTTTGTAAGTCTATACTTTTTAATATGGGAGATATTAGTGTGTGTTTCATTAGGGGAAAGCTTCCTCTTTTCATTGGTAAAAAATCAATGTCATATTATGGCAATTAGGTAGGTCTTGAATTCTTGTTTTTATCTGAGCTTAATTTAGTTTTGGAATTCTCAAATCTCTCATTATTATTTTACTTTTACTATAAATCTTTGTTATATCTTCTGAATATTATATCACATTTTTTCTGATTAGGAATCTCATTATGATACTTCTCTAGTTAATTTTTTAATCTTTATAACCTCAAAGTATAAGCTCTATAAGCTATTAGAACCCTAATAACATAGTTAAGAGCGAATACCAGTTATTGTTTATTAAGGCAGACAACCCCAAACTCTTTAGTTTCATTCAAGACTAAAACTAGATCTAGAATTATTGCATATGAAAGTCAGAATAGTTTCTTCATGTCTGCTGTCTCTAGACTCTTACGTTCTAGTGTGTTCCATATTGCAACTGATATCTCATCTCAGACTTACCGTTACAAAAGTGACTGCCTTCTCTGTACTGTAGTAATTCTTTTCTTAAAAGAATTGGGGCCAGCAAATGGCATAATGGCTATGTCACTGGGCTCAACCACAGTTCAAGTCCTGGATCTGGTGGCTTAGGTTCATGCCTGCTGTGCACGTGTGTGTGTGTGTGTGTGTGCCTAAGATCCCAAGAGGAGAATGGAGAAGGGATGTGATGTGGCCATCCCTCCGGAGGGTGATTTCTCACTTTCTGTCTCTCTGTCTCTCTCTCTTGCTGGTGAGTGCACACACCCTATAGCAAAAACCTCTCCAAAAAAATTATTTTATTTTATTTCTTATCTTTTTTTTTTTTGGAGAGGTTTTTGCTTTAGGGTGCGTGTGCTTGCCAGACAGAGAGAGACAGAGAGACAAAAAACGAGAAATCACTCTCCAGGGGGTTATGGCCACACTGCAATCCCTTCTCCTCCATTCTCCTCTCGGGATCTTGGGCACACACGCACACACGCCCAGTGTGAGTTTTAAGCCACCGGGTCCGGGACGCAAACTGCGGTTGACTACGTGGGAGTCCAGCGACATAGCCATTACGCTAACTGCTGGTCCCTTCTTATCATTATTTTTTCATTTGACCAGAGAGAGACAAAGAGAGAGAGGGAAAGTGAGAAAGGAAGCCACCAGATCCAGAACGCTAACCAAGGGAATTCAGCTCCTTAAACACCACACCACCTGCCAGTCCCTATAATAACTCTTAAAGTTTCATAAATAAATGTAGTCAAAAAGTATTTTCATTATTACATGTTGTTAGTGTTTTGTTTCAAATGTTTTATCTTACTAGGGATAATCTAAAAAAATTATATAGTTAAAATTGCATATAATTTATTATTGTTTAATTTGTTTTTCCTTAGGTCTAAAATCCAAAAGTGTTAATGATTTGATAAAGGACATAGTAAGAGTACAATTTAAAATTTTCCAAAGTGACATGGAAGAGACTGTGGCACAGCTTTTTAAGACTGTATCAAGTCTATCTAAGGACCTCGAAAACACCAGGCAAATCATTCGGCAAGTTAATGAGTCTGTGGTTTCAATAGCAGTCCAGCAAAAGTCTGTTTTAATGCAAGAAAACAGGCCCTCTTTGATGGATATAGTGGATCTAAAGAATAGCATTGTGAATGTAAGGGAAGAAATGATTTTTACATGTGAGAAGCCCGTTAAAGAACTGGAAGCCAAACAGGCCCACTTAGAAAGTGCTCTAGAAACAGAACGTTCAAGGAACACTTTTTATTATGAATCCTTCAATGAGACTCTTTCTAGAATGAAGGAAGTACATGAACAGCTTTGGTCAACTGAACATGGCTCAGACTGGAAGAATGTTTCAGTTGCTGCATTGGTTACCAATAATGTCACCAAGTCCATGTCTACTCTGCATGAGAATATAAAGAAGCAGGGTTTGATGATGCTGCAAATGTCCAGTGATTTGCATATCCAAAACAGCAAGATTAATAATCTCACCCTTACTTTGGAGAAGGAGAAAGAATCTGTCAGGGGCGAATGTGAAGACATGTTATCTAAGTGCAGAAATGATTTTAAATTTCAACTTAAGGACACAGAAGAAAATATCCATGTGTTAAATCAAACATTAGCTGAGGTCCTCTTCCCAATGGACGATAAGATGGATAAAATGAATGAGCAACTAAATGATTTGACTTATGATATGGAGATCCTTCAACCCTTGCTTGAGCAGGGAGCAGCTCTTAAGCAGACAATGACACAGGACCAAACAAAGGAAGCAGTAGTCACAAGGAAAAAGGTGGAAAATCTGACCAGTGCTGTCAATAGTCTAAATGTTCTTATCAAAGAACTTACAAAAAGATACAACTTACTTAGAAGCGAGGCCCAGAAGCGTGATGACACCTTAGAAAGACGCATCAATGACCATGCCTTAGAAATGGAAGATGGCCTGAATAAGACTATGACTATCATAAACAATGCCATTGATTTCATTCAGGATAATTATGTGCTGAAAGAAACCTTCAATGCTATAAAGTACAATCTTGAGGTTCATCATAAATGTTCCTCAAATATGCAAACTGTTTTGGCATTTATTCCTCAGTTCCAACGTTTGAATGATTCTATTCAGATGTTAATCAATGACAATCAGAAATACAATTTGGTTTTACAAGTTGCCAAGGCCCTTGCAGATATTCCTGAAGATCAGAAACTAAGTCTGTCCAATTTTCAGAAGATTTATCAAATGTTCAATGAAACCACTTCCCAAGTGACAAAATACCAGAAAGACATGAGTGATTTAGAAGAAAAAGTATTCTCAGCCACTAGGAGTTCTGAACATTTTGAAACTCGGTTGCAAGGCATTGAAGCTAAAATGACCCAGATTCTCATACCTTATTATATTTCACTGAAAAAAGGCAGTGCGGCTACAAGTGAGAGAGACCAAGCTCTTCAACTGCAGGTATTAAATTCCAGATTTAAGGCACTGGAAGCTAAATCCATTCATCTTTCAATTAACTTCTCTTTGCTTAACAAAACTGTCAATGAAGTTTTAACGCTGTGTCATAATGCCTCTACAAGTATATCTGAGCTGAATGCTACCTTTCCTAGGTGGGTAAAAGATTCCCTGCCAGAGAGTCAACTTCTTCCAAAAGGACTGACAGAATATGTAGGATCAATCATTGAAATAAAAACTCAAGCTGCTCTATCTAATTTAACTTGGTATATAGATCGATCGTTGTCTGATAGTCTGGCAAATGTTGTTAAGTCTCAAAAGCAAGTAAAATCCTTGCTGAAGAAACCAAATACACTGAAGAGACCAACAGTGAATCTTACCACTATCCTTATAGGCCGGACTCAGAGAAACACAGATAATGTTATCTACCCTGGTAAGTTATTACTGAAAAGTAAATTTTAATTTATCTTTTTTACCGAAATGATATTTAGTATATCTTTATAGTTCAGCAAGACCATAAAATGTAAAAGGTGCTTAGTTGAACTTGAGTAGATAGTCAAGGAATGAAAAGGTCATTGACTTGTCATTTAAATCTTAATATATCCTGTGGAAATAGCATCAATACAAAAAATTACATCTAATGCAAATACTTATCAACATGCTTTTAGACTGTTTCTGCCCAGACTTCTATAAAACAATCAAATGTGCTCCTATGGAATAATTTTTCTCTATGTAAGTAATTAAAGCTATCAGACGATGAGTTCCATGATAAGTAAGACCAGCGGGATTCACTGGCTTACTTCACAATGTCTGGTATGCAATAGGAATTCAACAAATATTTATTGATTGATTTTCTAACATCAAATGTCCAAAAATTAGGTTTGGGCAGATCACAGAAGGCCCTGAATGCTGAGCTAAGGCACTTAGACTAGACACTGTTGTGTAATGAGTGAGATGTCTGTGAAAATTTGGAGTAGTGATTGGGTGCGGTAAGATCTGTGACTCAGAAGCCTAAAGCTAGCTGTAGCATTTGTGGGTAGCCTGATAGCCAGGAATCAAGTTAGAATATCAGTTAGGACCTTATAGATGCATACTGACAAGAGGGAGTTGGAATAGAGTGGGTGGATGTGAGAAATGTTTTGAAGATAAAATCAAAAGATACAGAGGAACAGTGGAAAGAGAAATGCCAGACCTTGATTCTGGCTGTAATTGTATTAGTAAGTTTGTGTATTAGCAAGCTTGTGTATTAGGTACAATGCTCACCTCTCTGGGTCTCAGTTTCTTCCTTTCATGTGATGAGATGGAACTAGGTGATTCGCTGGGGTCATTGGTAGAAATCTGTCACAGATCACGTCGTTGTGAACCACCCTGAGCTGTTATACACAGCCTGAATGTGTGCACTTGAAGAGATACCTAGGGTATTTGGAGGTCTAGAATTTGGGAAGTGAGTGAATAGCTGTATCATTAACAGATGTTGTAATCCCCAGAAGAGGAGCATATATTTGAGGGGAAAGGAGAACTCAGTGTGTGACTATAAATTGCTTAATGGTATCTCTGTATGAAAGAAGTGTTTTCTGCATATATATGCTATTGCTAATCTTTTTACAATGAGAATAGCTGCTGATTCTTACTAAAAGGAATAGCTGGGTTTTTCTTATACTAGAATGCTGTTAAATTATATGCCCATTTGGATGAATTTAGTTTTTATTGCTTTTTAATTACAAAAGGATGATCATTATCCTAACATGATAATAACACCACATATTAAATCTCTGGATGTTTTGATAATATTTAAAAATCACAGAATAATGGAGAATTGAATTCACCCAACTGTTTAAATTAGTATGTGTATTTATGACTCCCCATATTAATCTGACCTTGGATGACTAGTGTTACTCCTGTGGGGACATAGAACAAACCATTTATACTGATGGGTTGCCCAAAGAAAGGTAGTATTTTAATATGAAATATGTCTATAGTTATACATCTAAGAAAAATAATTTGTTCTTTTTCCATCTTATTTCAATCCTTGGTCTTCATGTGAGCACTGTAATAAATGCTTTAACTATACAGTGATCAAATACCAAGCCAGCTTGGTATTTTTCTTAATAAAAACAATAATATGTGTTTATATAGTATGTATAAATAATCTTAAAATCAAATGTAATAAATTTATAGAACATGAGAACTTGGGAGAGTAGGTGGCATCATGGTTAAAGACAGCTGTATCCCAGACAACTGACTGTGGTACAAGTCCTGGACCGGGTGGCTTGAAAAACACTGAGTACATGTGTGTGCATGCTCAAAATCCCAAGAGAACAATGAAAACAAAAAGATTGTGGTATGGCCATCCCCTCTGGGGAGTGCTTTCTCGTTGTCTCTTTCTCTGTCTCTCTCTAGCCAGTGCACACACCATAGAACAATTTTTTTTAACTGTTAAATAAGAGCATGAGAACTTATACACTTTGATAGTATAAAATAATGTATTATAGGACCTTATACAATTGTACTCAGGTACTTGTAATAATTGAATCAATATTGGGTTTCATGGGCCAGTCATAGGAAGTAACTCCATTCTAATTCTCTTTTGCCCCTGATGCCTTGATCAAATTGATTCCTGTTCCTGCATTTACCGTGAGTAGAACTGTTATAGACCTAGCTACAAAAATTAATGATTAATTAAAAGTTCTTTATTCTCTCAGTAAAGATGCCAATAACTGTGTCGGGACAATAATGACATGTTGGCCTGATTCTACGTGCAGGGTAGAAGTTCACTTTAGGCCGGATGAGCGCATACTGTGGGCCTTTTTACGGGAGTCCAGAGGTCTGCATGTGTTTAGGCCCGACCTGCTTCTGTGCGCCATATAACTGAAGGTGTTACTGGGCGGCTGAGCGAATAAGGTCTGTGCACGGTGATGAAATCAGTGGACTCGGACCGAGCTCTGTAAGCATGAAACAAGGGCAGAATATTTCCTTTTATAACCCGTTTTATACCAACGGTAGGACACATTGACTCTAGCTAAATTTGGCTATGTTTCCTTGACCTTCGATATCATATGACAAATACCACAGAGTCACATTGTTCCCCCAGATACCAAAAGCCAGAAGATAATTTATCATCGTCTTACAGATTTTCTAGTCACAGCGATTACAGTATAGCTACTGTCATTTGCAAAGTAAGTGCCATTTATAGAAAGAAAAGCCCTATAAACATAGTTGTTAAATTTTAATCTTAATTTTAACAACTGGAAACTTATTGTGAAGCCTGATAATACTAATACTATAATAATATAATGTTGGTTATAATTTATTAACATTTAGTATATTCTAGATACAACACAAATTATGCATTTATGTTATACAACGCAATATACATTACTTCACTTAACGATGCCTAGAAGGTTAAGAATTATTTATATTTTGAAAGTGAGAAAACTAATCCTCAAGAGATTAAATAAAATATCCTGCCTAAGGTCATGCAGTTAGCAACAGAGCCTCACTCCTGGTCTGCTGGACTCAGAGCCCAGTGCTCAGTCACTGTACTCTGAGAGATTAAGGAGTATGTTCACACGCCTTTCTTTCCCTCTGTTTCCATTGCATCATATGTTTTTCAGAGTCTGGCCATATTTGAATATTCCATATGGCTACAGCTGACATTAGGGAGTTTCCTTTCTTAAGAACCCAAATACTGACAACATGTTTCTGAGTCTGGCTTTTCTGAGCTACAGCCGGTGGGTAGTTATTAAATGTTGCTCCCAGGCATTCCAAGATCTTCCTTGGACTAACAGAGTAGAAGGACAAAATCCAGAGTGCTCATCCTTTTAGCTTTCTTTCGAGCCATTTCTACCTTCAGGTATGCTCATTCTGATTCCAATAGGCCATTGTGGAAAAGCTATTGCAGTTTGATGACTCAATATTTGGTCTGTTTCTAAACAATATTCTAATAGACACAAGAGGTTTTCATTTCATCTTTGAAGACTTGTTTGTATAGCAATTGGCAGACTTATCCCTGCAGAGACAGTTTGGCTGCTTGCCCTTCCAAGAGTAGCTGCATCCTGCCTTAAATAGAGTCAGCAGCTTCACTGCCGAGCATGTGCGCCGTGTGCTCAGGGAACTATTGGGTGTTAGTTTTTAATTGCCAGGGGGTGTGTGTGCTCGCCAGAGAGAGACAGAGAGAGAGAGAGGGAGAGAGAGAGGGAGAGAAAGAGAAAGCAGTCTCCAGCGCAGCATGGTCATGCCACAGTCCCTTGCCCATTTCTCCATCCTGTTGGAATTTGGGACACACATGTACCAAATACAACATTTTTTTTTTAAGATTTTGTCTCACCAGAGAGAGACACACAAAGAGAGAAAGTGAGACATGATCCCCAAAGGGGATGGCCATGCCACAATTTCTTCTCCTCCATTCTCCTCCTGGGATTTTGGGCATGCATACCCACACTCCTGGCATGATTTGCAGACTGCCAGGTCTAGGACTTGAGCCACAGTCAGCCATGTGGAAGTCCAGCACCTCAACCACTGCACTGCTTGCTGACTGCCCCCAAATAAACTTTTTTTTTTTTTTTGAGAGGGTTTTTACTACAGGGCGCGTGGCCTCGCCAGACAGAAAAGACATAGAGACAGAAAGCGAGAAATCACCCCCTCCAGGGGGGATGGTCACGCTGCAATCCCTTCTCCTCCATTCTCCTCTCAGGATCTTGGGCACGCACGCACACACGCCCAGTTTTAAGCCACCGGGTCCGGGACATGAACCGCGGTCGACTACGTGGGAGTCCAACAACATAGCCATTACACTAACTCCTGGTTCCCGTCCCCCAAATAAACTTTTAAAAAATATTGTTTTTGTGAATATAAACAAATTGAAAGAGAAAAATTAGAGCCTAGTGAATATTTACTTTATATCACCTTGAAGCCATTTTTAAATTTTGTGATTTATCAGGGAGCTGAATTTGGAATGTGAAGGTCATGGTTCCAGTCCTTCCTGGCACGTATTTTTTTCTGCCATTTATTTTTCTAAATCTCTTATTTTTCTAAATCACTTTTTTTTTGTAAACCTTACTTTTCTCATATATAAAATAAGAGTAGCATTCCCTTCTTACCAATTTATTTTGAAGTCAAGAAAATAATATGTACCAATAACATTCACTTTGTGCTTAGTTTATGTCAGAGTATGTCATTTCTTATCTTTCACAGTAAAAACAGTTTCATAGGAACCAGCAAATGGTGTAATAGTTATGTCGCTGAACTCCCACCACCACAGTTCAAGTCCTGGATCTGGTGGCTTAAAACTCACACCAGGCACATGTGCATGTATGCTCAAAATCTGAAGAGGAGACTGGAGGAGAAGGGATTGTGGTGTGACCATCTCCCCTTGGGGGTGATTTCTCACTTTCTGTCTCTCTGTCTGTCTGTCTCTCTCTGGTGAGTACACAC